CCCCGTTTGAAAATGACAGAAGGAAATATCCCCAGTTGTAAGTCCTCTGAGAAGCCACTATGGTTTTATTCCTGCTCCCCTTGGAATTTAAAGTTTGTTCAGTGGGAAAAATTAGCATTACACGAAGTATTATTGAGACAAGTGTTTTCTGATCATGACTTTAGTCGTGTCTGACTTGCATAGCTTGCTCAGGGGCTATTAATTTAAGTTTTAATAATTCTACTGGTAATGCATAAGAAGTAAGGACATTCATCTCCAGCCTTCACAGCTTTGTTAGTGCTCCAGGCCTAGCAGGAGCAAAAAGAAGTGCTGATATTATAATCACTCAGGTCAGCGTATTTAAGATGCCAGTTTAATATAGTTGCTCCTCAGTTCAGTATTTCTGTTTTCATTTGGTATTTCAGTTCCTAGTTGGTATTTAAAACTTCAAAGTGAAGAAGACCTGAAAAGCTGATTAATTTAGGTATCTTCAGTATTTCTATTATTGTGTCCTATTTCAAGCAGACATACCATTAAACATTACTATTTTGGCACTGGCAAAGAATGCAGAATACCTGATTCTGCTACTGATTTGTACATTTGTAGAGTCACTGAGCCATATCTGAAGTCTTCTGTCTATTTTCCTTTCTATAAGATGGCAACAAAGATAACTCTTAAGGCCTAGAGATTAGTGGGTGAATAGATCTAAGATCCAGATGTGAAGAACTACTTGCACAAGAACAAAGCAGCAGATAATTCAAAACAAACTCAGATCCTGGCTAAAATATTTCATTAAGGGAACTTTGGCCAGCATCTGTGTAGACTCCTTTAACTAGCCTGCTAGGTAAAACTCCTCTGTTCTCCCTTGTACATTGAACCTGGATGTGTTGTCTTTGAAAGTTTAGCAACAGTATATTACTGTTGGTAACAGTAACCTTATTGCCTTACATCTTCAGTATGCATACCCAGAGAAATGTGAACTTAGTCCTGTGCAGGAATGGTTGAACTTGAAGATAAGCATTGTCAGACACCTCAGCAGCCCTTAATGTATCACATGTCTTCAGAGGCTGTGTTCTGCATGTTTCAGACCACATGTTCATATGATGCCAATCCTTGAAGACAGGATAGAAACAGATTTATGAGTTTGGGAAACCTAACCTTACTGTATTGGTAGTGTAATGTTTGGGGGTGGGTTTTTTTTTTCAGAAGTGCCTGGTCATTTTTAGGCTAACCATCTGTTTTGTTACAGGGTTAGATTTGTCCGAGTAAGGGAAGAGAATATTATCAAAGCTTGTAAGAAAAATACTGCCTGGAAGCAAGCACAGAAAATCATGTACAAAACAATTCACCTTACCCAAAAACTGAACTGTTGATTTTTACTTGAGCCCTTATTTTGCTGTGCTGAGTAGCAAATGTAGTGTTTGTCACATTTTCAGCAGTGTCATGTGAATGGAGTCATGCAAGTACTACAGTCTCAGAAAAAGAAATACTCATGAGTCAGTCATAGGAAGAACTTTAACTGGATTTGGATTTACTACTGTTCTGAAGATGCAGAACCAGTCTGTTTTTATCCCAAAGAGACTGCCTCCAGCATGTTTATAATCTGTGCAGACAAGCTTTTTGAGAAGTCAGTTGCCAATCCCATTACAATGTTTATTTTGAGAATTTTAGTAGCTTTTATCCAGTAATGTAAGTATGAGTTATTTCTACCTGCTTGGCAGCAGAGACAAGCTGCACAGTGCTAATAAGTAACTTTGTGGCCACTGTGATCTTAAATTCTCAGTTAAATACCTTTACTTTTTGTCTATATACATTCCTTTTTATAAACTTCGTGCACATCATAACCTCAAAAGTATATACAGGTTTATTCTTTATGCTGGAAGCAGAAATGTAGTCACAGCATATATAGATAGTCATGCTGTCATTAGTCCAAACACCAATAAAATTAATTGCAGAATAGATGCCAGGATTGGGTTGGGCACTTTGTGTCTTGAACAATGGAAGTCATCACAGTTATTGACCTAGATTTACATTAAACATATATAAATATATTGTGGACATACCTCCTGCAGAACTTTATTTTCATACCGCACTCCAAACATCTTTACAAACTTGAACTTTCAGATCTGCTTGCACATGAAAACCTTTTATTCAAGCTTTCATCATGTGCCTTGAAGGCTACAGCTGTGTACTGTCTGGTTTCTGCAAACCGATTGCTGGTGTCTGTTATTTTCTGTCCTGACAACATCAGCTTTCTTCAGGTACACATTAAATACACATTGAATGCTAGCTGCTTATTATTATAATGCTATTACATGCTGTCTGCTAGGCATTTGTGTGGCAGCATACCACAATATCAACAGCTATTCTTTATCAGTTACTTTCTTTTTATAAACCATAAGTCTTTTTACATGTAGAGAAGCTCAATCACCTCTCTTTAATCTTTAAAAGCCATGCTTAGTATCTTCTCCCTTAAGGCTTATATTAGTCTGATCTATTATATGTGTGAGTATTGGGGGGGGTGGGGGGTGGAAATTAGTTCCCTAGTCTGTGGTGATGGCTTGGAAAGACTGAGTCATTGCTTGTATGTGGGGCTACGCAGGATTCTCTGCTGATGGATGGTGTACTCAAGGGCAATGACTAAGTGAATTTCAGGGGATTGAAGGGACTGTGTATTGCAGATTAAAGTATTAACATGGTAATGATTTAGTAGAAAATCAAGATTTATTAATGACTAGCAGCACTTAATCATTAACCAATTTAAAGATTTACAAAATAATTCAGTAAAATAGGTTATAATTAAAATAGTGACTTAACTATAGCTTTGAAGATGACTATATGGTACCTTAATTCACATATACATGTACATTGACAAACACAAGATGTACAAACACAGAGACAAAAGTATTTGGATACAGTGGAGTAAGTATGTACCTCCACTGATGAAATTAACTGTATACCCAAACACATTGGTAAGCAGAGAGAGCAGGTGAAAGAGAAGCTGGCTCAAAGTTAAGCTTTCCTTCTTCTCAAGTTTAGAGTAAATACAGTGCATTGGCATTCCTCAACGGGCAATAACTGACTCGAGTGGGTTGACTTCACCCTGGCCTCCCGTTGGCTCTAACAGTGGATGATACCTTAAGGGTTTTGGTACCTGAGAGGTGTCCCTGCTCAGGGGAGAAGCTGGTTACAGGCCAGCTGCAATCCAGGAGAGCTCAAAGTCTCACTTGGGGTTGCTATTTATAGGGTCCAAGAATTGACTTTTGTCAGGTACTTTTTCACTCCAGCCCAGCTCTAAGAATGAGGTATTCTGGTTCTCCCTTGATGGCCCTGTCCTTACCTCCCATGTTGGCATGTGGTCCAGGAGGGGCGTTGGAATCACACCGAGCAGCAGCCCAGCAAGGGCAGGGGGTGGGGAAGGGTTGCACCACCACACTGGGGTAGCTCCAGTTCTTGAAAGGCTTTGTGACCAAGTGGCAGAAGCAAAGCTATTATACTACTTCTTGTTCACTTGTGAGTGGACCCTAAGCTCTAGCAGGATTTGTCTTAGGGTTTCTGGTACATTTGTTTGGATTATGAGTGTGCTTTTGCAGGTGAATTTGTGGGTTGTCCATGGCTGGCCACCAGGCACCCACCCAGCTGCTCAGTCACTCCCTACCTGAACAGAACAGAGGGAGTAAACAGGCTGAAAAACCTCCTGGGTTGAGATAAAGCTTCTTCTGCATGTGTCTCACATTTTCCCCCCTCTCATTCCTCGCTGCTGAGTGGCGTTTTGCCCTTTCTTGAATCTGTTTTTGCTGAAATGCCACCCGTAGGGCTGAGGGGCTGGGCTATGCTGTGCGCTGCAGCTGCTGGAACCGCTCTCTGCCCCCTGATGCAGCGCAGCCCTCAGGTACCTCACAGGATGCCATTTTGTGAGCCCTCTCAATTGTTGTTGAAGGATGTGGAAAAATTGCTGATTTTAGGGAAACTTGGAGGTGGAGGGAAAGAGCCAAGTGAGAG